TCCAACAATAACCCCAGTTCTTCTCTCTTTTTTACTACCTTCTGTCTTATCTCTTCTGTTCTTTTATTTTTTATGTAACTGCTCCAAATCACTTATTTCTTTTAACAGCCCAGTAAGTTTCTCTCTTCTTTCCCTTTTCTTTTTTGCTCCAATCGCAATCAATATACCTCTTATGTATGCCTTATGGGTCTCCCACACTGTGGCCACCGACACCTCCCCTGTCTCATTCTCCTGAAAAAATCTCTCAATTTCTTCTCTAATTTTCCGATCCACCTCCTGGTCTAGAAAGAGAGCCTCATTCAACTTCCATCCTATCCCTCCGGTCGAACATCTCCCCCACCTCACTTTCAATGTAACCGGCGCATGATCCGAGAGAGACATCGCTTCTATTTCTATTTTGTCCACCCTTTCTATGAGTTGATGATCAACTAATATGTAGTCCAATCTGGAATACATCCCGTGGGCATTAGAGAAATATGTATATAATCTCTCTCTTTTCCATGTGTCACTCTCCAAATATCCACCAATTGACATTCATGTATCACACCCTTCAGAGTTTTCAAAGCTCTACTTCCCTCTCTCTGCACAGATGATGTCGTGTCCATTTGTGGGTCCATGCAAAGATTCAAATCCCCCGCCACAATCAAAAGACCCTCCTTAAAGGCCAACAATTTTCTCAAAACTCCCTTCAGGTATACCTCTGGTCTCTTATTTGGGCAATAGATATTCACAATTGTACATTTCTGTTCTTGTAATCTACCTTTCAAAAATAAGAATCTCCCCTCCGGGTCTGTTTCTCTCTCTTCAATCTCCCACCTTATATTTTTTGCAAACCCTATTGCTACGCCCTTAGCTCTTTTAATCGGGGAATCAGCACAGAACCATGTTGGATAATTTCTTGAGTACAACTTTACATTTGACTTAATCTCTAAGTGAGTCTCCTGCAGAAAAACCACTGACGCCTCTCTATGTTGCAACTCCTTGAATACTTTATACCTCTTCCCTGGGCAGTTCAAACCTTTTACATTATATGTTAAAAATCTCAAGTTTTCCATAGATCTTGTATCAATATATTCTTATTCCTCATTCTAACGTGCAGAGACTTAACCCTAAGACCCCCCCTATCCCCTCTTATCTTTCTACTCATATCCCTCCACCCCTCTCCCACTAGTCCCCTCCCCCCCCCCCCTCCTACTCGCTCCTCCACCCCCCACCACCCCCCTTTTTAGGCCTTCAAGCTGCCTATCAATCATTTGGGGTAATAAAACCACCTTTGATTTTTTATTTAAACCTTGGGGTTGAGCTCCTCCCATGTACGGCTTACCCACCCTCCGACCACCACGGTTTCCCTCGCTTACATTAAACCTTTTAACCTTAGCGGTGCAATTTAGAGAGAAAGTTAGGAAAAAAAAAAAAATAATCATACTATCCCAACTAACTCCTCGCTACCTCCCCCCTACCAACTTCCTGCCATACTTCTTTTCCCCCAATGCCTATTTCAGTCTCTATTTCCCATCCACTAATCCTCGTTCTCTGCAATTCCAGTCTGTCACAGAAGTCTCTTAAGTCCTCGGGAAATCTCAAATATGCTGTGACACCGTTCTTCCATCCGGTCAAACACTCTGGGTTACCCCATCTATATTGAACATTCCTTGATCTCATCTGCTCTAATAGGGGCCTCAAGGCTCTTCTCCTCCCCAAAGTCTCATACGATAAGTCCGCAAAAATCTGGATATTTATATCTCCATACTTAATAGTTGTTCTTCCTTTAATCCTTCTCCAGATCTCTTCCTTATCTCCATATTTTTGCAGCTGCACAATCACATCTCTTGATTTTTCCTTCCCGTTACCTTGTTGGGGCTTTCCTGATCTATAGACTCCATCCAGTTTAATTACCTCTGTTTCAGGTCTGTCCATAATAGAGTTTAACATTTTACAAACAATTTCTTGCAGTTCTCCCTCTTTCAGGATATCTGGGATTCCTCTTATCCTCAAGTTACTTCTCCTAGACCTGTTCTCCTGTACTTCTATTTTATACTGCAGTTGTTTCTGCGTGTTCCTCATCATAGCTGACCTTTTTTCTAAGTCCGAAATGAATTGGGTATGTTTGTTGATATTTCCCTCCATTTCTTCCATTCTCTTTAACAGATGCCCTAGATCCTGACGTATATTTGTCATTTCCTGCTTAATAGTTTTTTCCAAGTCCTTAAACATTACGGCCATCTCTCTTTTATTCGGCATTTGTAAGTCTTTTTCAAGATCTTTCCTCGCTAGGTTTTCTGTCCACTGATGGCTGCTACTATTCAGGCCCAATGACAATCTAGGGCTATTCTCCAAGGTGGTTTCCATTTCCCCTTTTTCATTTCCGCTATAGGCCCTTTCTGGAGTCACATTACCCTGGGAAGTATATTTTTTAATTGTGCCCGTCTGGGACCCTTTAAGCCCACTTCCTTTAGCGCTTTTATTCTTCATATCTTCTGCACTGGTTTTGCTCTTTAATCGGCGGGGAACTTTAGGCTGTATATTGGGGTATTAATATTAATCAGTCTCTATCAATTTAACACTTCATTTTCTTTTCCCAGGTCTCTTCTGGAGCCACTTAGTAATTTCTCATTCCCTCTTCTTTCTGTTCTCACTTTTCCAGATCCCCTGGGAATCCCCCTTCTCACTTTGTTAGTAATTAGCAGTCCTACCCACAGTTCAACCTAGTAAAACAGTTACTTGTGGGTTCATACGTGTGGACTCACCCATCCGCTCACCACACTCAGCCGATATCTCTGGGGGATTCCTGCAGGGTCTCCTGTAGGTATATATCCAATGTCACCTTCCGCTCCTGTGCTGCAGATTTTTGAAAATTTGAACCGGCGTCTCCGCTCTCCACTCTCCCACCAGGGAGCCGGCACCTGTCAGGGAACGGCCGGCGCCTCTGCCTCCCAGTACTCCTTTGCGGCCAGCCAACGTGACCACGCCGCACTGCTCCGTCTCCCGGCAACCCGACAGCTGGTCCCAGGTCTCCGCGGCGCGAACTCCTCCCGGAGCTCCGTATCGACTCTCGCTCTCCTCTCCCTTCAGCTCGCCGGTACCCTCTCTCCCCGGAGACCTCCTCGCTCAGGTAGGGCTCCGCTCTTCAGACCTTAGGGGTTCTCATGGTGGTCTACTCGTGGATTATCGGAGAGCACTCACATCGTGCTCTCCGGCGCCGCCATGTTTAGGCTCCTCCCCCCTTTAGCAGCATTTTAAATCTGAGATATTGAGAGGTATGGGGTATGTTCTAACAGGGATTAGATCATTGTGATATGCATGTACATTGTATTACGTTTGGAGTGACTGTGAGTTTTATTTGCCGCAAATGATGTATAAGCTTGTATATACACATAAAAGTCTCTAAACATCTGGTGAAATGACAAGGGAAAATAGATATATTTTATTACATATAATGGGGTTGATTTAATAAAGTAAAATAGACTGTGCACTTTGCAAGTGCAGTTGCTCCAGAGCTTAGTAAATGAGAGGAAGCCCTGCTGACTTCCATCGTCCAATCATGTGCAAGCAAAAATGCAGTTTTCTGCTTTTTTTTTATTTTCCTTGCATGTGATTGGGTAAAGTGAAGTTTTATCTCATTTCCTAAGCTCTGCAGCAACTTGCACAAAGTGCACAGTCTGTTCACCTTTAGCAAATCAACCCCAATGTTTCTGCGTTTTCCATATTTAGGTTTCTTTGCATTACTGTTGAAACACTGACCTAAAAAAAGGTAGAGACTATTCCAAATTAGCTATTGTATTTTTATATTTCTTAACTACCTCATGCCTGGACCACTACTTATTTAACTCATACATTTATTTATTTATTTATTTCCTTTAGTGAATTGATATATAATTGAAATATAATTGAATATTTGCAATTTTAAGGGATTTGGTGTAATAACCATATCTGGTCGCTCGCTCGCCACTTCACTGTTTCTTTAGTGAATTGATTTTAATGCTGTCTTGTGAGTTATTTACTGAATGTTTTTGCTTTTTGAGGTAAGTATAAAGGGATAGTGAATTTGATATTTTTGAATATCTCATGCAATATTTAGGAATAATTAGTCATATCACAAAAATACCTCATGTGATATGTCATTGCAAAACAGCAAAGAGATATTCCCTTTCTTCAGTTTTATGAGCAATCCAGGTTCTCCAAACCCTCCATATTTTCCTAAGTTGGGTGTTCCAAATAGACTGTTCACAAAACTAATATGATAATCTCTGCTTGTCAATGGGTATCAAGGATGGTAAAGACAGTGTTTCCATAGGGTTGATTTACTAAAGACAAATGGACAGTTCACTTTGCAAGTGAAATTGCACTTTACACGGGGATTTTCCCCATAGCTCTGCTGACTTCCATCATCCAATCATGTGCAAGCAAAAATGCAGTTTTTTCTTATTTTCCTTGCATGCAAGTGGGTATTCTTTGCAAAGGGAAATTTCACCGTATTCACTAAGCACTCAGAAAAAAATCATTTGGGCTGTGTAACTTCTGTTACAAAATGAACAACCTATTTGCATTTGGTAAATTATCCCCCATGTCACTTGGATGGTTCGAGGATGTAAATACATTAATAATTAATAATCAAAGGTAAGAACAACTACCTAATAGATGGTCCTGGTATGTTCTCACACCTTTACTACTATATATATATATATATATATATACATTACATTATGCTGCCAACACATAACCAAAGGCTTTGTAATTGCCTTGAGCATCGTACACCAGGCCATTTTTTCAGTTCAGTGGAATGCCAGTTTTCTTATAAAAGAGCAGTTATCCTTTAACCACCTTCTGCCCGCCATATAGTACAATGACGGGCGCAAGGTGGTTCTATTACGTTCTGATAGGACGTCATATGACGTCCTACCATTCTCACTGCGCATGCGCGGCTCAGGGAGCGTGCAGCAATCGCCGGTGCGCTGTGTCCCTCGGACACAGCGGATCACGGAAGAGCCGAAGATGTCAGCTCGGTCATGTGATCAACTGTGTCCAATCACAGCTGATCACATGTAAACACGGAAATGTCGGTTATCGGCATTTCTCTCCTCTCGAGCTGTCACGCTGACAGCCCGAGAAGAGAGGGGAACTGGTAATCGGCTTTCCACGGAGGAGACATGTACACTGATCATCAGGGCACTGATGATCAGTGTGCCCTGATGATCAGTGTGGCCCCAGAAGTGCCACCTGTCAGTGCTCATCAGTGCCACGTGCCAGTGCCCATCAGTGCCACGTCCCAGTGCCTATCAGCGCCACATCAATGCCACATATCAGTGCATACCAGTGCACATCAATGCCACATATCAGTGCCCATCTGAGCTGCCTTTCAATGTCATCCATCAGTGCCAGTCAGTGCCACCTATCAATGCCAATCAGTGCCACCTATCAGTGCTGCCAATCAGTGCCACCTATCAGTGCTAGTCAGTGTCGCCTATCATTGCGTATCAGTGCCGCCTATCAGTGCCAGTCAGTGCCACCTAACAGTGCCAGTCAGTGCCGCCTATCAGTGCCAGTCAGTGCCGCCTATCAGTGCTGCCTATCAGTGCTGCCTATCAGTGTCATGTATCAGTGTCATGTATCAGTGCCCCTCAGTGATGCCTGTCAATGCCCATCAGTGCAACCTACCAGTGCCTCCTCATCAGTGCCCATCAGTGCCACCTATCAGTGTCCATCAGTGCAGCCTATCAGTGCCCATCACTGCAGCCTCATTAGCGCATATCAGTGAAGGAGAAAAATCACTTGTTTACAAAATTGTATAACAAAAACTAAGAAAAAATTTTTTTTTTTTTCAAAATTTTCAGTTGTTTTTGGTTTGTTTAGGAAAAAATAAAAATCCCAGAGGTGATTAAATACCACCAAAAGAAAGCTCTATCTGTCTCAAAGAAATTATAAAAATTTCACATGGGTACAGTGTTGCATGACCGCGCAATTGTCATTCAAAGTGTGACAGCGCTGAAAGCTGGAAATTGGCCTGGGCAGGAAGGGGGTATAAGTGCCCTGTAGGCTAGTGATTAAAGCTGCTTGATATTGTACAGTTGTGTGACTGCATTCTCATAATCATGAAAATAGATAACTGCAATAGACATTTAAAATTATGCATGAAAAGCACATGCAGAAAATGAAACAGCTGTATAGTAAGTATATCATTTATTGAATTACACTTTTTTTCAGAATATGTTAAAATCTTTGGTGGATTTATTTTATGTATAGTCGGTTAATTAGAATTGGTGACATTTTATGTTAAGTTTGCGTTACACAAATTAAAAGTGTATTTATTGTACTTGCTGTGTCTTGTTATGTGTTGGATAATAAATGATTTTTGTCAGAATGCATGGCATTGTTTTGTATGCCGACTCTTGTATGACTTGGGCTACTTGACTAGGATAAGCAAATTCAAGAAAGGATAGTAAAGAATCAGTGGAATTGATCAAATCAAGAATCATTTGGATTGGATTCACTTTCCTCTAATCAGGGAAATTAACAGAAACAAAACTGATTTGGGTACACAGGAATATGTTTATACCAATCTGTTGATTGTGTTGCTTATGCTTAATATATACTGTTTATTTATATTCTGTCATTATAGAGGATGTATTGAAGAATATTTTTAGGAAATCCAAGAGTCCACTTTACAGGGCTTATCACCCTTCTGCCTAACTTCATATTTACAATTTTGCTTGTTGAGAACAGCCTCGCAGTTTTCAGGATCTTCAATAACTGGCTTTGCAAATCTGAAATAGAGAAACACAAAAATTGATGTTTAAAGTCAACTGCGTTTAGGTCAACAAAAGATCAACATCTCCTTAAAGCAAACCTTAGGTTGGCTCATGCAGGGCAAAGCAACAGATTTGTCTTTATGCATCTTCCCCAGTAGTGTATAATGTAATTACTTTTTTCTTTTCTCCCCTGCCCTTCTGCTGATCTCCAATGAAAAAATACCCATTGCTACTATTAAGTATGGAGGAGCATGTGACTCACTCATCTTCCTCTCGTATGACAGAGCTGGTGCATTGGGAGTAGTACATAACTTTGACATGGGGACAACTGAATAAAGTGGTGGAGGAGAAAAGGAAAAATGACTATGGTCTGCTGGGGAGGAGGTGCATTAACATGAATCTGTTAGCTTGCTTTGCACGATCAATAATAGGTTCATCTTCTTGGAACATCTCAGGCACTCTAGAATACCTTTTTACTGTTAAAAATGATTATTAACTGAAGAATGCCTCTTTATGCTGTCATATTCACCCCAAGAGGCTCTATGTCTAAAATTCAAATATTTAATTGACAGACTCCAGTGTATATAATATAGTGCTATATATTCTGGAACTAAACTCTGTGATTGCCTATATGTCAATTAAGTCCAATCAGCTGTATTCACAATCAGAAAAAAAATGTACATAGCATAATAGTATCCTTCTGTTCCCAGTGCTGAACAAAGTGACAAAGGAGCAAAGGGAAGACAAGCATACACTGCTGGGGAGGGCTGCATTGAAGCCAAATCATTGGTGAGGAGGCAAAGCAAAGGTTTGCCTTAAAATACATTACAACCATTACTCAGTGATAAAAAAGGGAAAGGCTGAGAGGATGGAGAAGTAGCATCTTCATGGAGAGCTAATAAAATATGTTGGGGTGTTGGGTTTCAATGGCAGAACTTACCTTTCATACAACCATCAGAGTGGGACGTCCAGTCACTGACATGTGCTAGTCATCATATAGCTGCCTGCTCCCCATTCAGATCTGTCATCTGGCAGAGAAAGTCTTCCAGCATCAACTTATTTTGTGGCTCTGAGATGTTATGTGACTGGATATGAAGAGCTGCAAAGAACATTGACACTGGAAGATGTGCAAAGGTGTGCCACAATAAACCAAGTTAACTAGGAACGTCCACGTTTCTTAGAGCCCACCAGTCAATAACTCATTATGGCACACTTTTCATGGTACACTTTCTTTGCCCACAGAAATCCGTCCCCACCATGAAAGGGCTTATTCATTTTTTTAACCCCCCCCCCCCCCCAGGTCAAAGATTCTCCAGTCCTCCACTGAATAAAACATCCAGTCATCCAATGTGATATGTTCTGTGAATCAGTCTGCTTTTCAAAAGTAACTGAAGATTTCTGCAAAAACTTCTTGTAGTGCATACAGTATATTTCTTTTTTGCTCAGCAGATGTTAAAATATTTTCATAGTTGCTGCTGTTTATAATATAGTGAAAAATAATGTGATCAACAAGCAAACCTACTTGAAACAGCAGTCGATATGTTCTCCATCGCAAGTACATGATGAACAGTCCTTTTCTGTCCACTCCTCTCCCTTTTCATGATGCAGTCCATTCTTCATGCAGTCTGGAATTGAAGAGTAGAAACCCCTTTATTCTTCTTGTCCCCCCAAAAATTTGAGCTGAAAATACAATTTCTTTCTGACACAGAAATGCAACCTATAGTTGTAATATAACAGACAATTTGAAAACAAACAAAATGTACCCTCACATTTTCAGAGGTCTTACCTGTCAATAATGTAATGCATTCTGTATTCCTTTGTTTAAAATGTGGTTAAAAATATGGTGTAGAGATAGAATGTTTGGTTAGTCATGATGTTGACAGGTCTGATATTGAGCTTATCTGCATCCCTCACACAAGGCAACTGATCTTCTTTGTATGGAATTCAGGAGTTTATTGGACATGAATTTAAACTGATAAATGGGGGCAGAGATTTAATTAAAGTCACACTAAGTTACATTTCTTTTCAGTGGGTAAAAACAAATGTAAGGATTTGTGTGGGTTTCTAAGGGCTTGGCTGATGGGGTGGAAATGCCGGTAAAGATTCTGGTACTAAAAATCCAACAGTAAGCAGTATGTACACATCATGAACACAACTGTTTGTAGTTTAGGTAACAAGATTTGTGAGCAGACAGCTCTTATGCCTAGGGATAAGTTATGACTTTGTGGTCAATTCACTAAGAAATAAATAACGCATTAATTTTTGAGTTAAAATAACTCATGCGGAATTTATCTCAAAAGTAGTCAATTCACTAAAAAAAACAGGCAATATTTACCGAATGCATTGAATATTTATGTTTTGCGACATTTAGCGCTTAAATTATGCATTATTTTTGGCTTTTTTTGCAATTTTTTTTTTTGCAGGCTAACACTGCACCAAAAGGCACGCAGCAAGATTGTGAAACTATGAAAACAATCTAGTGTGCTTTCATTCACAAAATGATCTCCCTCTAATGAAATGTTACAATTTATTTTCATACCTGAGCTCAGAGGAGAACATTTTCACATTGATACATTGTATACTTTTCACTTCATGGCCAGTGAAGAGTTGCTCTAATTGTTATTTTGTACATTTCTAAAATACCGCCAGCAAACAGGTGATAAATAATGAATATATGTCTTTTTTAGTGAATTGACTTTAATGATTTATCTCATGTTTTTTGCGGTATTTATCTCACTATTTTAACAAATGTGTGGTATTTACCTCACATTCAATATTTTACTTTGATGAATTGACTCTTTTATTATCTTGTGTGATATTTCTGAAAAATGAGTCACGTGACCTTCATATTGCATGTGGGTTACCTTTAGTGAATTGACCCCTTTGTTATGATTACAGAGACGTGGTTCAATAATTCAAATGACTGGGAAATACCTATACCAAGGTATAGAGTAAGAGGCAGAGTAAGAAAGAGAGGTGGCGGAGTTGTAATTTATGTCAAGAGTATCATAAAATTAAAATTAATTCAGAAAACAATTGTACTACTGGAAACCCTCTGGGTCTGCCTACAAAACAGAAAGAGATCTTTCCTTAGAACTGATGTAGTATACAAGTGGACAGGATAGTCTGAGGATTATGAAAACTTGTTGATTAACATGATAAATTAAGTTAAAATGAAGGGAGGGTTTTAATTATGGGTGGCTTTAACATGGCGGACCTAACTGAAGTTTTCACACTGCACTGAAAAGCAGGAGCAGGTAGATGTATTAACTTCTGGTATGAACGAAAACCTATCCAAATACCCATTTTACTTCCCTGAAGCCACTGTCACCTGACAATCCTTTTACCCTTTTATGTTTACCTTCTGGAGTCCATCTTTGAGTGTCCATATCACTGCCTGCATGGTGGCAAAGCTTTCAGCTGCTGGGCCCTCTCATAGGCTCCAGAGGCAGGAGAACTTTTGGGGATGGTGAGGTTCCAGTGTCTAAGCAGAGAAAAATGCATGGACCCCAGAACACAAAATTAGTTTGGCTCATAGAGACTATGACTTTAGTTCATTATATTGCAGGATGGCTTAGGAAGAGGTGTTTGGAATCCAGAGGACCAAGGTAAGTGATGCGCTATTTACATATAATTTTCACCTAGAGTTGGGCTTTAATGCTTGAAACAGACTTCC